GTTTCCACCCACATTTACACTGAGTTCTTCAGAAAGCAAATGCAACTGTAATAAATAAACTGTGTAGCAGATCCCTTAGAGACCACAATCCAATGATTCGCACACGCATCCTGCGGCTCCACTCACAAAATATATATTCGGTAGGCCTATGTTACACAGAAAATAACATCCTGCCTAATTCAACATAGCATTGCCAAGTTTACATTTTTTGGTTAAGAGATCTGTTTTATTTTAATGATTTATTTTTAAATATCCCCATGGGTTTTTTCGGGGTTTTTTCTTTTTTTTTTTTTTTAGTTCTTCCAGTATTAATATTTTCTCTTCTGGCTGAACCTAGATTTTTCTGTCATCTTAAAAATGCCATTGCCTAAGAATTCACATTTCATGCCTTGTGTTTGCTGTAAGACATGGGAAATATTTCTTTTTCTGATGTAGAGTGATAGGAAGAAACCTGGGAAAGGAGATACAAAAATTTGGAGACCTCGTTTCCACATAGTCCTTGGTGTTTCAAAAAGAAAAAAAAACAAAAAAAACCCATGTCCTTACACATGTGGATTGTGATCTAACTAGGAAAATACTGTGCCCCAAAAATGTATAAAATTCAAAGCCTGGGAAGCAGAAGGAGGTCACACTGTAATCTAGCAAAGTCAGGATGTGCACTGATCGATAAAGGCACAGTTTACAGGACTGTTAACATATTTCTGAGGCAATTTTAGAAAGCTCTCCTAGAGGTCAACTAATAAAATACTCCATAGAACACGTTATGGACCAAACTAACACCATTCTCCATTAGTACGCATTTGAACTGCTTTCTTTCTGATCATATTAAAAGGTCCCCTGCGTGACTAATTTTTTTCCACAAAACGTGTGCATTTCAATGTGAAAATTTCCCCGACCCACCATGTAAAATGTTATCTTTGACATACATTAGGCAGATAGAAAAAAAAAAATTAAAAAGTAATGAGGAGGGGGCCAAACTGCTTTGAGAAGTTTCCACATATGTGCTAATTAGTGATTCCATCTGAAAATATTCCCAGAAAGCTGGATGAGTAAAGCAGACGGGGATAAATAATGCAAAGACCCTGTGGCATCGTCACAAACGCCATAATCAGGGCTGTTTGTGAGTTCAGAGAGAGTCTCCAAGTGCTATGCCTGAGCATAAAAGATCAATGAAGTAAATCTGTGCTAACAACCTTGGGGTTATCACGTGCACGCGCGCGCGCACACACACACACCACTATTTTCTTTCAACCTCTTGGTACAGATCTTCCAGGGCTGATATCCCACTCACCCTCACTTTCAGGTCTGTTTTTACATAAAGCAAAACCAAATTTCTTACACCTGGTTTGTAGCGCTGTTGAAGTGAAGTGCGCGGTCTTCATTCAAATGCTGGTCCAGTTACATAAGCACATGGAGATGATTAGCTGTGAAATAAGGCATTAGTCCACAGCATCAAACACCAAATGAAATACTCTCCGATTACAGGGACTGCAACCTCTAGAAGTCCCTTTTGTGAAATGACAAGCCTGCTGGTTTCGTCTTCAGGTACAATGCTCAACCGTGTTTTTTAAGTACAATTGAGTTTCATCTACCAGACCAAAAATACTGCCAGTTGAAATGCATTCTGTAAAGTCAGTGGAAAAATAGCACTAGTAGCTCCAGAAATGAGGGGTAAATAGCACTATTATGGTAATTTCTGGTTTTAATGCTTTCAGCTAACACAGGAAGACTATGATTTGGAAGTTGCAGTGGAGATATTGGGAGAAACACCTAGATACTTCCCTAGAAGTGCTGCAGAAATGACAGCATCAGTTGTGCAATTTCAGGCCACCCCCACCCCGACAGCCAAAAGAGGGGGAAGCATTTAATAGCCTTATGAGTGTGTGTGTGACGTGTGCCTGTGTATGTTATTAGAGACATTTCTAAGGTCCCCTCATTCAAGACGTTAAGACAAAGTCAAAACCCTTCCTCCTCCCAGCGCTGCCCTTCCCCACCTACTGACCTGAATACCCTGTGATCCTAATTGCCCAGGACAAAGAGGAAGCTGGAGCCCTCCCCAACTGACCCACTGGTGTCCATATTCCTGGGAGAGCAGCAGTTTTGTACTTTGCAAGACCAGAGTGACCTCCCACTTCTCTATCAGTGACCCATTTACCGGATGGCTTTTACTGCTTTCTCAAACTTGTTGGGCATGAAAACAAAGTCAGCTCTATAGGAGTAAACACAGGGTCTGGAAACAGTTTGAAGCCTGCCTGCTAATGAAAGGCCCTCGGTCTCTTCTTTCTTTAAAATCAAAGCTTCCTACAAAAAGAATAAACTGCCCTCCATGACAGGGAGTCAAGTAACCAGGTATTTACATTTAGACAAGATAGAGTCTCATCTGGAAGCCTGGAAGAACGCACAGCTGTCAAGAATCAAATAAAGGCTTTCAAAAATCTTTCTCAAGAGCTAAGGATGCCATTTGAAGAGCAAAGTAGTGAGCAATTTCCCACTAACATCACAGGAATTTTTAAAATTTTGTTTGAAAGGCACAACCTGCCCATATCCATCAAAAAAGTCTATGGTTCAAGCCTTAAAAAATATATTATTATAAGTTTTAACATACTAGATTTCTCATTCCTGCATCACAAGTTTTTTCTTTAAATGGAATAAAAGACCTAGTGTGCTGATTTTTCACTATTAAAGGAATTTTTAACATTTAGGGAAAGAGGTTTTTTTTTTCATCTATATATCCCAATATATATTCTTTTTACAAGTTTGATGAGAATGTCAGAATTAGTTGCTATCCTATGTCTAAATTTTGTTACAATAGAAATTTATCCCTACCATACATGAGTGTTCACTCATTTCTATTAACTTAAATTCACAAGGGGTCTCAGTAGCTTTATATCCCAGAATTTGGGTGTTCCTGAAAATGCCTGGAAGATTATGGGGACAGGGTGTATGGAATCAAGAGCTTCCTTGAATGACACTATGATTTAGAATGGGGTAAGTAACAATTCTGAGGAGCTCAGCAAGACAACCCTCATTCAGATCATTCCCTGCCTCAGCCTTCTTGGCCTCCTGCCTGGGTCCTGAGAAAAGGAATCTTCAATAAAACAAAGTAAAATTAATAAGTAAGTAGAAAATAAATGCATACAGAAATGCATACATAGATGCAATGTTCAATCATTCAGCAAGTAATTAGTGAGTTCCTGGCACTGAGAATACAGCAGTTACATTAACGAAGGATACAAATCCCTGCCCACCCTGAACTTGCAATCTGGTGGGAGTGGGGAGTAGTGGGGAGAGAATATATGTAAGTAACATGTGTAATATATTTATAAGGTAATTAGTTCTAAAGGAAAACAAATAAATCAGGGAAGGGAATACGAGACTAAGGAGGTACATTGAAATTTTAGATAAGTTGGTCAAAGACAGTCTACCTGAAAAGATGACACTTAAGTAAAACACTGAGGGAAATGAGAGATACCTGAGGGAAGAGCTTTCCAGACAGAAGGAACAGCAGGTGCAAAGGCCCTGAGTCAGGACCATGTCTGGTATGTGCAGGGAGCAGTAGAATGAATAGATGGGAGTATAGTAGAAAGTGGGGCCAGAGAGAAAAGGTGAGGGCAAGCCTATCAGGTAGGACCCAATAGGCTAATGTAACCTATTCTTACTTGATGGAAAGCCACCGGAGTGTTTGAGCAGAAGAGTGACATGAGCTCAGTAATACATGATCTCAAAAATGACAGGACAGGGACAGAGCAGAGAAGCTTACAAATGGAAGAAGAGACATTTAAGTTGAGATTTTAAGGAAGAATAAGAATTAGCTAGGGTCAAGTAAGTTTGGGGGAGATGGAACAGAAAATATTTTTAGAGCCAAAGAACAATATGTGAGATGTTTCAGTGGGATTGGTGCTTGTGTTATCTGAGTCACTGACAAATGATGGTAGCAATGGCCATATCTTCTGCACATTCAAAATCAAACATCAGAGTTCCTATGGAAGAGTATCATGACATCAGTCCTTAGGCATTGGCTTTTGTGAGGACAGCACTAACAGTAGTGCTCAGATGTGTGTCCTTAGCATACCTGTGGCCTGAGTATCAGCAGTGATGGAAGACATGGCTACAAGGATTCAAAGTAGAAGAGAAAAAGAATGGTAGGCATCATGTGGTAGGCAGCAGAGACCCACCTGAACAATTTGCAATTACTGAGACATGTTCCTGACCCAGGGCCTTTGCACCTGCTGTTTTTTCTGCCTGGCAAGACTTTCCCTCTGATATCTCTCATTTCCTTCAGTGTTTTACTCAAGTGTCACCTTCCACAGGAGGATGACTTACAATTACTGAAATTTAGGCAACTGAAACTGAAGTTTTCCAAGACAACAAGGCTAAAGATAAAAAATAAATGGATAGTACTTGTGTATTTTTTTCAAAGAAATTTTGAACCTATTAATTCCTTTTGTCCACATACGTGCACTGTAAGTTAGGGAGGGCAAGTAAAGAAAGTAGGTCACAGAGACTTAATGAATTATTAACACCACAGAGAATTAATGGCCGATGAAGGAATGCTAACCCAGGACCCTTGGGAACCAGTTCTAATTCTTTTTAAACCAAGCCTTGATGTAAATAAAGACACGTGGTGGGGGAGGGGGGAATAGCAATGAACAGAACTTGTTTGGAGAAAGGATAGTTTGCATCTCCCAGAACAGTGATACAAAAGATCCATGGATTGCCATATACTTTGGTCATAAGCTCATTTTCATGCAGGGCAGAATAAACTTTAGCATATTTTCCAAGATGCTGTACCACTTGCTTGCAGGAAAATGAATTAGTATGAATTTTCAGCTCGGGGGGGGAGGAATTTATGATTTTAAAAGTCTTAAAATCAGAATCTTAGGCATGAAAATCTTCAAGTTCTGATTACCAGATAGCTGTTCTTTGGGCCACACGTTGGGTTATAAGTAACCCAAACCCCTAAGCAAACTGCTTTAGTAATGAGGAAATGACAGACTCACATAATTAGATGTGAACAGGTTGATCAGGTTGCTGCCTTGACTTAGTCCAATTGCTGCACGACTATTCCCTGTGACTTCCCATGTTTGAGCTCACCAATCAGACAAAGAGTGAGGAGTTCTGGGTAAAACATAAATGTCCAAAAGGAGAGGATTGATTAAAGTATGTTGGAATATCATACATGCATTAAAATATGTTAGAGTACTCTAAAGACTTGAAAATATGATCATAATAAAGCATTAAATCAAAAAAGCATACTTCAAAGAAATATGTTCAGCGTGATTCCATTTCTGCCAGGAAAAATATGCTGATAGATATATACTGAACTAGATAGATATATACTGAAATATTAACAGTTATAAATTACATCTGAATAATGGGTAAAAGAAACTTTTTTATATTGGTATTTTCTAAATTTTCTACAGTAAGCACACATTGTGAGAAAAATATTTGAATGTCATGTAACGACATTTGGGAGTATGATACTTAAATTTGCATATACATTTTCTTTTTCCTTTTTTGGTCTGGTACTTCTTAACATTGATGCCCTAGCTGTCAGAAGTCAACATGATGTGGCTCAAGTCAACTTCCCAACCATGTTGGAAACTGCCTTGCTGGGCTGCCAGTGAAATTACCACAGCCACCTAAACAGATTATATGAAAACAAGTCTCTCAGAGATCCTCAAGTCAGGGATATTCTGAAAATAAACTAAGTTATATTTACAGACAATCTAGGCAGTTCACCTCCATAGGAGAGAAGATAGTCTTCCAAAGCTACTCATGAATTTACATTTAATGACAATAACTATCATTTATTAAAACTCACAATGCGACTGGCAATGGTAAGAACCTTAATAAATATCCCTTGATTAGATATTAGTAACCCCATCTTACTGATGTAGAATCAGGGGCTTAGGAGGTTATGTAATATGACATAATTCATGCAAATGGTAGAACCGATATTTGAGTTCAGGCTTACTTCCTGCAAAGTCTCTGGGGCTCTCCCTAGGACTTCACAATGTTTCCAGTCAAGCTAGTTGGAGCACCTTCATTTATAAGCCTTACTTATTTTTAGGAGACATTGTTTTTCATCACACAAAAGACTCCAAGGGTGCCTGGGTGGCTCAGATGGTTAAGCGTCTGCCTTCGGCTCAGGTCATGATCCCAGGGTCCTGGGATCGAGTCCCGCACCGGGCTCTCTGCTCCTTGGGAGCCTGCTTCTCCCTCTGCCTCTCTCTCTGTCTCTCATGAATAAATAAATAAAATCTTTGAAAAAAAAAAAAGACTCCAACATTTGTGGATCTATTTTGAAAAAATATATAATTTTATTCATAAAACTAATGTACGTGCTCAAATTCAAATAGTGTACATAAAACTTGCCCCCCAAAACACGTTCATTAGACAGATGTCCTCCGAAATGAACTAGTACTCATGAACACATTTGGAATATAGGATCTGCCCTTCAGCAGTATGCACTATTTCACATCAACAATATATGAAATAAACCATTGTAGAGAATTAGTTTCCAGAGCTAAATCACAGCCATAGGAGCAGGCCTTCCGATGAATTCTACCCCACAGATATTAACAATTAGGGAAGAATTCATGAGTATACTGGAGTTGAAGTTCTAAGCCAAAGAACGAGAAGTGGGCTTAAAATTTAAAGGAATAATGAAAATAAGAGAAATACATTAAATTGGTCTCTGATATCCCTGTTCTTTTCTGTGTGATATCAAGAAATTTCTGGTAGTTTACTCTCCCAATACAGGTTACCCTGTGGTAGTGTTATACTTTATAACATTTAGAAGAGACAAGGAGAAAAAAAAGTTCAAATACTCTTCACACACATTCATTATTTTTAACAGTCCTTTACTAGAGATGGCTTCTAACAAAGTGAAATATCTTACGTATTAATTTTTTCTCTGGGAAAAAAGCCAATGTATACAAATATATAAAAATTCATGTAATGAAAAATGTAATCGTTGAGTACTTCTTTACACAGAAATATAACCTCCCAAATATTTCTCTACTATGTAATATCACATCGCTGGAATCTAATTGCAATATTGTCATTATAATACTTAGCAGACTATTTTCCCAAGTGCTATCCCATCCATTTTTTTCTTTGTATAACAATGATTAGCTCATTTAATGATAGAATTAATACATATTTTTAGCACCTCACCTCCATGATTTCACTCTTGGGTCTGACCTTTTAAAAAATGTATTTCCAAGTAGGAAATAAAGCAAGGGATTTCCTCTCCTCTTCTAAGCTCACACATGCTGTGGTAATGCTTTCATCTAGTATAAATCAAATTAAACCTGTATGATATCTTACAAATAATTCCCATGTCACAGTGAGCTCTTAGGGTGGCTGACTTGTCTTGCTTTATGATACAGAAAAACTCTGTTCTTTAACCCACAAAATGGAAGCCAGCAGAATCACAACTGCATATAGAGCAAAAACTTCCTGTCTGCGTGGATGAGTAGGAAGATTCAGTATCTCCTACAACAGAAATACCTGCAAAGAACAAGGTTTCATTTATGGCTTCGGAGGATGTGCTAGCTAACAGCCAAGTCATCCCTCCTAGCAGAGGGGAGGCCCAGGACATTATATGAACACGATGGGATGATATCCATTTGGGAGCCCCACAAGAAGGCAAAAACTTAGGTGCCCAAGATCAGTAAAACAGACAAAGATGTCAAAATCGAGACCACACTTTCTTCTTCCCGGTAGAATTTGGAGTTTTGGAAGGAACTCTGCAACAAGTGCATATAATCTTTCACCCAAGGAAACCTTGTTTTCCAGATACCTGCCTTCTCTCTGACCCCAGACCTTTTATAAAGACCCTCTTATCCCCCACACAAAGACACCCCCTGATGAGAAGTTTCCTCATGACTCGGCATCTGCCCACCTCTGCAAACCACATTCCTGGCTAATCGTCTTTCAGGACTCGGTTATGCATTACGTCCTTTCTGAGTCATCCCAGCTCCATTCCCTGGTCAGAAAATTCAATCACTCCATTTCCTTATGTCTTCACTCTGTCCGGTATATTCTCTATGACAGCACCTATAATAATATTGCAATTATTTACATATGTGACTGTCTCTATTAAACTAGAATCTCTTTGAGAACAATAATCATGTTTAAATCATTGTCGATCTCTATTACACAATATAGTGATTCTGGCACTTGGTATATGATATTTGCCCAATAGATGTTTGATAAATAAATGAATTAGTGAATGATAGATAAATGATTATTTTAACATTGAAGGAAAGTCATGCCTCACCCAGGTTCAGTAGCCCAGTGGTTTCCAGTAAACATATCCTCTTCCTCCACTCCCTCTCCACCCTGAGGATAGTCTTGGCAACTCAGTGAGGGACACCGATTCAAAGAGGGCAAGGGACAAAGGAGAGGGGGCCTGAGAACTCCACTGCACAATCTCTCAGATAGCCATCTTCCTTCCAGTCCACAGGACATCATGCACTCGGAGCTCTGTTCCCTGGGGTCCTGAATGCCTATCCTACTGCTCAGAGTGCTGATCATCAGCTCCATTCTCCAGCACCATATGGAGCCTCCACATTCACTTAGCACTGAGTCTAACTTAGTACCTCCTTCCCCAGTCAGCCAGCGGTGCTCTCTTTTCTGACTTGGTCTCCAGCCCAGTTGGGCCCCTTGGGAGTCCCAAGCTTCAGAGATCCTTATTCCAGGGTAGATTCGGAACTATGAGCACTAAAATTCTTTCTTTTTTTTTCAGTAACATTTGAAACATCATTTAGCTGTTCTAGCACCTGTAACTATCCATTCTTCCTTGTACACTAACATTCAATGAATAAAACAAAGCCTATGTCTTTAAAATCATCTATACCCAATACTTGTAACAGAACAAAGCTAATTCATATATATGCAAAGGACTAAAAGTGGTTGAAATGAGACTTCTGTCGATGGTCTTGCCCTCCCCCATCAAGTGATACCCAAAGGAGAAGCTACCCAATCCTGATGTTTTTACAGAATGACATCCATCACACAGGTAATTACTCATCCATCTTAATGCTTCCTTTTAAGTTTGCCCTTAAGAAGCCTGTGATCTCCCAAGTCAAGGGCCTCAGTAAAATCAATAAAACCTCGTCCTATCAGGCCACCAGCCAGATCATTTTCTACCTTTTAACAAGGCAGTGGTTATTAAATGCCTTGTTTGAAAACCCAAGTGGGGTCATCAGACTTTCATGATGAGAATAATCCATCAATTGTACATGTGCTATCTTTTCAGTGTCTTTGATATGAGTGATAAAGTAGGTAATGGCCTACAGTTTTTCAATATCTGAACATGTTCTCCTTTTTACATTGAGGTTGCAGCATCGCAAAGGGAATTTCGTGACGGGAGGAAGCTTGTTAAGAGAGAAAGCAATTTCGCTGAGTTGTTTCCGTCAATGCAGAAGACACGCTGCAGGCTCCAAATTTGAGAGCCTTGCTCCAAGCGGTCAGTGACTTCTTTAGACCCAAACCCAGCTATTCCATGACCAGAGGTTCTGAATCCGTAAATTCACAGTCAGATATATCTTATCATAATGATTCATGCCATACTCTTTGTTAGTTGCATTCTTGCCTTGAATTTGTAGGAGCGATGAGAAATCTAGGATCACAGAAATTAAGAGGTGTCGATTCATGTTGGACTCCTCGTAAATACCAGACGATCTTAGACCAACAACAAAAAAAGCAAATATGCTTTTTGTGGGTGTCTATGAAAATAGATCTGCCCTTGAATACCGTTCTGGCATCAGAATTGCTAAAGACTTGTGTTCTGACATCGTCAGACATCTGGATGAATGCTAAACACAATCCGTAACCTTCTCTCTACATTTTGCATCTGTTTGGTTGGCTTGGGGAAGCAGTTGAGGGTTATGGATTTTCCACTGAAGATATAAACCTTTTTATTGTTTCGCATTAATGCTGAAATTAAAAGGAGACTATTGCAAAACCCTCCCTGCATTGTTCTAAATTTACAGAATTAATGAAGCAATTGAATTCAAATTTCAATCTATGACAATTTCTTGTAAGGGACGGTTCTCTGGCGTCCTACAGACTACAAATGACTATTAAGCCAGTCACTCCTGCGCTTCATCAAGGCAAAGATAACTGACATACTGATGGGAATCCAGAAAACCAGCATGGTTCGGAA